CACCAGAGACTTGGTTCACTCTTGCTGCTCCTTTGAACAGAAAGACCTCCGTTGGCTCTTTAGTGAATGCCTGATTTTGTGGGGACAGTAGTGTGCACCCTTTGACTTTTTTCTTTCCTGTGCTGCAATATTTTGCCACAGGCAAGAAAGTGGCAAAATAGAACAAAGCCCAATCTCTTCCCCTTGAACAAACATTCCTTTTGTAATGTTCCTTCGCTCCCAGACTTAATATCCTACATTTATCTTCTTTGAGCTGAATTTCTCTACTTTAACCTAGTTACATAAATGATCAAAGCCATCCTCTAATTCCTCTCATCTTTCCAGTCTCTGTCAGGGGTAAGCTCAAGAGCCTTCCTACACTAATTAAAAGAGAAGATACTATGTGAAACTTGTTTACCTTATAACTCATTCATTTTAATATAAACATAGCATCAATTTTCTCCTGATTATAATTCATTGACAATGTAAGGAATGTGTTTTTAAGCATTTTATTTTTAAACATACAGAATGTAGTCTCCTAATCTTAGCATTGTTGATGTTTTGTGCTGGATAATCCTTTCTGGTAGAAGGTTGTCATGTACTCTGCAAGAATTTTAACAGCAGCCCTGGCCTCTGCCCTGTACATGCTCCTCCCCTCCTTTGCCCCTTTTCTGAGACAACCAAAAATGTATCCCAATATTGCCAAATGTCCCTTTTGGGTGAAAGAAACCTGGGTTGAGAATGGTGGATGTAAACCGTATTTAACCTTTTTTATCTAGGAAGATGTAGCAGGCTGATGCAGCCCTTCTTCCCTGAATATCTTAAAGGAAAAAAACAGAACTTGGATTTTTGGTCAGACTTGATCTCTACTCTTTAGTCAGCTCCCAGAATGTACTTATGAGTGTTTTCTGACAAAGTTTCTCATATGAATCTATCACTACCTATTTTTGTGCCCAATTCTTCACATGCTTCTTATTTTGTAAATAAGTTTACAAAATCCATTTCAGACATGTAGTATCACTGAATTTCCACGACATTAAGAAGTGGGTACTAATAGCCACGGGGGAGCACCAAGTGCCGTGAAAAGAAATATTTGGAGGAAGACAGGCTAGAGCTTCAGTTCTGGTACCACTATTTCCTGGCTTTGAAAACTGAGGCCAGTTCTTCAGATTTGGTGCACCTCAGTTTTCTCAACTGTAATGTGGTATCATTAATACCTTGGAGTGATATTGAGAGAATAAAACAAGATGAGAGATGTAACAATGCTTCACACTAACAGAGGCTCAATCAGCTGTAGCTTTGATTATTATCACTCTGAGTCCAGAGTTTTGTGTACTCACAGATACATAATAGCTTTCTCAATAGTGGCAGATTTTTGCCCCTGTTCTGGCCACAGATCACTTTAAGAATCGTCTAAACAGAAAAAGTCTCATAAGCAACACAATTTGTAGACAATTTCAGGGATAGTCACTGGTTCCACTGAAGTGTATATTGGGTCCAAATAAAGAATTCCTTTAATGAGAACCTTCTAATTTCAAACATCCTTTCTTCCAATTGACTCAAGTATGTTGTGCCAAATCTCCTTCCTTGCTCGTTGCTTTAAAATGGGATCACCTGCTGTGGAAATAAAATGATTCCTATTTCCTCTAACCTAATGCTAGAGGAAGATGCTTGACCAACGCATCATTGAAACATGTCTTTGGTTTTGTGAAGTAGAAACAGGCTTGCCAATTTCCCTTCTTCAACAGAAAAGGGGAAGAAAGCTATTTGGTAAAAAGGGATTCAGCACATCCAGTATGATTATCCACAATATTAGTTTCCTATTACTGTTGTAACAAATTACCATAAACTTAGCACAAACTTATCATCTTACAGTCCTGGAGGTCAAAATGGGCCTCACTAAGCTAAAATCGAGGGGTGTACCATGCTGCATTCCCTCCTGGAAGCTCTAGGGAAGAATCTAATTATCCTGTTTTTTTCAGCTTTTAGAATCCTCCTGCATTCCTTGGCTCATGACCCCTTCCATCTTCAAAGCCAGCAACGGCCAGTTTGAATCTTTCTCCCATCAAATCCCTTTGGTATTCACTCTTCTCTTTCCCTTTTCCACCTTTAAGAACCCTTGAGATTACATCTCACTCATCAGGATAATCCAGGATAATCTCCTCATTTTAAGTTCAGCTGATTAGCAAACTTAATACCATATGCTACCATTCCCCTTTGCCATGTAATATAGAAATATTTAAGTGCTGGAAAAAAATCAGCACAGACATCCTTAAGAGGCTACTATTCTACCTACTAGAGTCAAACATGTTGGTGTCTTTAATGATATAGTAGGAATAAATCGTGTTGCAAACCCCATGAACATATGCAGTTTAGCAAACAAAGAAGTTGGCACTATTTTTGAGTTTTCACAATAACAAGTGCATTTTTAGACAGTAATGTCCCCTTCAAAATTCCATATCATCTTTAAATAGAGTTCCTCAAAAACTATACTCAATTCATACTTTTTCAGCAATTTGACATCTTCCAACTCCTGATAACTTAGGTAACCGGAGAAATTCTTTACAGTTCACTACACAAATGTCTTTGGTTAAGATAACTCACATGTACTTTGCAAAGAAAGTTGCAAATACAGACAGAGATACATGGAGACTAAATCTAGCCTGCATGAATCAGGAGGAGCTCAAAGGAAATCAAGGCATTGTTGGCAAAAGAAAATAAGGCTGCTTAGAAGCAACTGTAAGGGCTGCACGGCACATTCACCAGCTAGCTTGCAGCTCCATTGCTTCATGGCACCAATCTCTAGAAAGCCCCTCATTACAATCTTCTGCAAATCCAGCACCCTCATCTTCCATATTCTCCTGGATCTTTTTGTTCATTTGCTTTTGTATTACTCCAGTGGATCTGACTGACTTTGCCTCTGATTCTTTTTCCTTCTTTTTAACCCTTGATTCTTCCATTTTTAAAAAATTTGTAATGTTTTAGAGACATATTCTGTTTCCCAAGCTGGAGTGATCATAAACCACTGCAGTTTCAAACTCCTGGGCTCAAGTGATCCTCCCATCTAAGCCTCCTGAGTAGCTGGGATAAAGGCACAAACCACCACACCTGGCTTGATCTTTATTTAGCACCACTTACCATCATAAAAATGGCTTCCAGCTCATTTTCCTAACCATGTTTAATACAAGCCCCAATGTCCTTGGCATTTATTTGGTTCTTAGTCATATTTAATGTTTTGCTGAACCAGTCTTCAAAAAAACTATTTCATGCCTTCTTTCTCCATATATTAATCCACTCTCGCATTGCTATAAAGAACTATCTGAGACTAGGTAATTTATAAATAAAAGAGATTTCATTGGCTGTACAGGAAGCATGGCTGCAGAAACTTAAAATCATGGTGAAAGGTAAAAGGGAAGCAGGCATTGTCTTCACATGGCGGAGCGGAAGAGAAAGAGAGCAAAGTGGGGAAGTGCTACACCCTATTAAACAACCAGATCACTAGAGAACTCACTCACTATCACAAGAACAGCAAGGGGAAAGTCAGCCACCATAATCCACTCACCTCCCACCAGGCCCTTCCTCCAACTTTGAGGATTACATTTGACGTGATATTTGTGGGGTCACAGAGCCGAACCATATCACTCCTTAAACCTCAAATGCCTCCTCCTCTATTCACAAATATTCTAGCCTCCTTTCTTCCCAGAGGCCTCCACAGGACCCCTTTGACGTTAGATGTGGCAGTGTTACTTATTTTGCCAATGATATGTAGACAAAAGGTCATATATCACTTCCAGAGACAGGCTTTAAGAACCAGAGTGCCACTTTTCTTTTTCCCAATTTTGGCAAAAGAGGGGCAAAGAAAGCCTCCCAACTCCCTGAGTGAAGTTGGAGCAAGCAGCATCCTCTAACTGATCTGCAACAGACACTTAGCATGAGAGAGAAATAAACCTTTGATGTGTTAAACTGCTGAGATACAGGAAATAAGGCAGTTACTTATTACTATAACATCCCAGCCTCTACTTTGCTTCCTAATTTGGTGAGAAAATAGAAGCAATCAAAAAAGAACTTCTACAACCTCCCATAACCACATCTGTGACTGATTATTAGTCACCATTTATTCTGTCCTCCTCTGACAGCTAAATGAAGTCTCCATATTCCTATCTAAAGCCAATGTTTTATCTTGTACACTAGATAGGAACTATTTTTCCTTACTCAAGGCTGACATTCAAATATTTCTCTCCTTTGTCTCTTATATAGTCAATGCTTCCCTTTCTACTAGATCACCTCCATCGGTAAATAAACATACACAGTATCTCCTGTTTTTAAACAATCTCTCCACTAGTTAACATCACCCAATCCCATCTCCAATGTGTCGAAATACTTGCTCCTATTTTCTTGAGAATTATCTTACTAGGTTCTGCTTGCCCACTACACTGAAAACCGCTTTTGTCAGAGTCACCCATAATATAAAATTTACTAAGTCTGGAAGTCAAATCTTGGTCCTTATCTGACGTCAAATAGACTTGGTTGACCATATTCCTTCCTTTTTGAATTTTTTTTTTCTACATGGCTTCCAAGACACACTTATCTCTTAATCCTCTTCCTGCCTCACTAGCTGCTCCCTCTCCATCTCCCAAAGTCTAAATGTTGGGGTTGAGCCCTTGGATGTCTTTTCTTCTTCATTCACACTCTCTTGCCTGGTGACCTCATCTAGTTTCATGGTTTTACACTGTCAACTGAAGAATAATGAGGTTCATAAATTTAGAAAGGAAGTGTCCAGTATGTGCCAAGCAAAGTGTCCACCGCTGGTGGAGCAATGCCTAACCAGCAGTCACCAAGGCCAGGAAGGTGAAGATTGGACAGAAGGGCCTGAGAAAACCGTGAGAAAGTGAAGGAGGGGGAGAAGGAACCAGAGGAAAAAGAGGGGGGGAGAGGAAGGGGGAAGAGGGGAAAGCGGAAGTAGGGGAGGAGAAAGAGGAAGAGGAGGGAGTTGGAAAGGGGAGAAGGAAGAGGGTCAGAAGGAAGAAGAAGGGGAGGAGAAAGGGGAAGAAGGGGAAGAAGAGCGGGAAGGAAAACAAGGGGGAGGAGAAGGGAGGGGAGGAGCTTCGCCACGGCCTGCTCTTCCCAGCCGGGATCCGTGGCCGTATGGCTTCGGTCTCCTCTGCGGGCTTCTCAGGCCACGGGGCTCCTTCACTGCTGCAGTTCCTGCGGCTGATGGGGCAGCTCAAGGTGAGCGGGCAGCGGGCCGGGAGGCCGCGGCCGAGCAGGCGGGACAGTGAGGCGGCGCAGCTTCCGGCTCCCAGCTCGGCCCGCGGCCTTTCCCAGTTCCGCGCCGTCCCGCCATGCCGAATTTGGGAAAGGCGCCGGCCTTGCGGAGGCGTCTGGGACGCCCATACTGGACGGTGGGCGGAGGAAGAAGCCGGAGGGGAGGCAGGGCGGGGATGGGGCCGCGCGGAGTTTGAGCCCAGACCCCGGAGCCGCTAGGGCCGCCACGCAGCCCGGCTGGTTCCCGGAGAGCAGCTGGCCTGGGCCGGCCTGTGCTGAGCGCTTGCGTGCGTGTGCGTGTGCGTGTGCGTGTGCGTGTGCGTGTGTGTGCGTGTAGAGCATGGCTGCTTCTGAGCACCAGTCGGAAGAACAGATTTTAAGTCGAGTGCTTTACCTCTGTTTCACAGTTACATCCCAAAACAAGACTTTTCTCCCCCCGCCAACTCCCCAAACAGGATTTAACATAACACACTGGAGTTTCATCATGTGTGTCTTCCACGTCTCTCTCCCAAGTTCAAAGCAAATTATCTGTTTCATGCCACTCTACTATTTATAACATTCTTTAGAGATGTAGAATTCTGAGGAAGAAATGCAGCTTCACAAGATCAAGTTATGATGTGAATAAAAGGAAGAGTCACAACTGTTGGTAGCATCAAGCAATGAGAAGGAGTCGTGACTCAACACGTAATGAGAAGTGCCTTTATACCTTGTGCATCAGAATTTGGAATTGTATCACTCGTTCAAGTTCGAGCCTTTAACACAGTGTTTTCTGCTTGTATAGGATTGTTTGAAGGCAAAAAGCTGCAACTCCTGTAGTTAGGAATAATGCAGTTTTGTTTTGTTTAAAGGACTTACATGTGTTCCATAATTATACACCAGTAACAGTAATTTGATGAATGGACTTTGTGACTTACCTCGCTCTGTCTTCTCCTTCTTTTATTCTGAGTTCTCTAGTTTATTTGATTCCAGAGATCTATCATTTTAGTTTAGTAAAACATTTTGTAATAGGTTCTGAAGCTATGACTCGGCCTCTGTGTGTTATATCCTGGACATCTCTTGAAGAGCATAACCGATAGTTAACATTGGTTTCTTAAACCTTCTTTTTCTTTTTCGTATTTATCAGAGAGTCCCACGGACTGGCTGGGTATACAGAAATGTCCAGAGGCCAGAGAGCGTGTCAGATCACATGTACCGGATGGCAATTATGGCTATGGTGATCAAAGATGACCGTCTTAACAAAGACCGGTAAGCTGAGCTGGATTTTGATGCTCATGAGGGATTCTGGTCTATGGGTGTACACCCATTTTTACCACTGAGGCCCGTGTCAAATCCTTGTAGGTTAGTTTATAGGTCAAGAAAAATGAATTTGAAGCAAACCATACAAATTTAGGATGTGGGAAGAGGAGCTCATTGTTGATTGCCTCAGTTGTAAACTGCAATCTGGGTTTTCTGTTGGCAAGTGATAGAGCCTGCCTTGGGTATCAGAGGAAACTTGAGAGTGATACTGGGGCCTTGAAGGTGAGTGTGTTATGTCTAAAATTCTAGCATTGTATTAGTACACTATGTGCTCTTTTCTAGTGCCTTTTGTGGATAGTAGAATCCATTCTTGAGATTTCTTTCTGGAGTTGTATGTGTAAGATATAGCTGAGAAAGAGGTATCCTCTCCCCCTTCAATCAACAAGTGTTAAAATGCTTTTTGAGCATAGAACAAAAGTTTACTAGCATATTAGAGAGTAAGGTGAATTACACAGGCCCAAAGTACCTTCTATATGAAGTGAAACATAAAGTATGATGGAAACAGTAAGTACAAAGAGTAGGGGAGATCACCTGTTCTTGGTTCATCTTAATGGAGGAGGTGCAATCTGAGTTGAGCTCTAAAGAGTTAATATAGGCAGAGAGGTAGAAGGCACTGCAAGCAGAGAGAAGGGCAGATAAAGCAAAGCCCTGAGTATAGGAAAGTAAAGGAGTATTTTTCAAATGAGAAATAAATCAACGTGACTGCAGCAAATGGTTCACTGGGGAAAACTCAGGAGTCCTGTTACTCAGCGTGTGGTATGAAACTGAGGAGGTTTTTGGCAAATAGTACAGGATGAAAGTGAAGTCCAATAGAGGTGCAGTTTGGAGTAGTTTGGGATTCGAACTGGACCAGAAAGAGACTAGAGGCAGGGAAATTTCAGAGGACACTGTTGGGCCTTGTACTGCTTTGGTAGTTTTAGAGCCCAAAGGAGACTGTCCATATGGGGCATTTCTCTCATTACTTAACTTCCTGTTTTGATAATGACTATCACAACCAGTATTGATTAATCACTAATAATCATAACCACTTACTGAATGATTCACGTGTCAGGAACATGAAAGTTGTCAAATATGATTTTTTTTTTGAAACAGAGCCTTGCTCTGTTACTCAGGCTAGAGTACAATGGTGTCATGTTGGCCCACTGCTACCTCCACCTCCCAAGTTCAAGTGATTTTCCTGCCTCAGTCAGCCTCCTGAGTAGCTGGGATTACAGGTGTGTGCCACCACACCTGGCTAATTTTTATATTTTTAGTAGAGGTGGGGTTTCACCACATTAGCCAGGCTGGTCTCAAACTCCTGACTTCAGGTGATCTGCCCAACCCAGCCTCCCAAAGTGCAGGTATTACAGGCGTGAGCCACTGCACCCAGCCTAGTTATCAGCCTTTTAAAGTAAGATTTGAGACACCAACCATTTAAGAAATTAATGCTAACAGTTTCCCCTACATTCACATGTATTTTATTGAATATGAACTAACAGTTTTTATCGAACTCTTGTAGGCTGGCAGAATGTAACTGCTTTAGAATATACTACATTAAAATACTCTATGAGGGGGGAAAGAAAAAAAAATACATATATATATAAAATGTAACTTTGGAAGAATATAGAGAAGGAACTTGTAGTGAATATAATTCTGTGTAATTATTCAACATTTCTTGCCTGGTCAGATGTGTACGCCTAGCCCTCGTTCACGATATGGCAGAATGCATCGTTGGGGACATAGCACCAGCAGATAACATCCCCAAAGAAGAAAAGCATAGGCGAGAAGAGGTCAGTGTTGACTGTTGACTGTGCAAAAAACCACGAGAAAAACCTGTTGCTGAAGCAAAGCTAAGTTTATGAGAACTGTTGCCGTTAGGGAGAATACTACCTTGATAGTCTTACTAGTGTCTCAGGACGGGGAAGGTCAGGGGAGGATATTTTTTAGAGTTTCAAGGCCTGGGTTAGAGAGTGTACAGATAGAGCTAACAAGTTAGGCAACTAGCTAGGATTGCACAGTTTAGGACATAACAGATTTAGATTGGTAAAGGTAATGAAAGAAGGTCGTAATGAGTTTTAAAGAGTAAACTGTTAGTATTGACTCTGTTTTAGGGGGTTTACAGCCTATCTTCCAGAAGCAGGGATTTCCTGGAGTAACCAGCAGATTGGATTTTGCTTGTTAGTCTGTTCTTTCCTATCTTTTATAAAGGAATACCTGAGGCTAGGTACTTTTTATTTTATTTTTGTTAATTTCAACTTTTATTTTAGATTCAGGGGTATATGTGTAAATTTGTTACATTGGAATATTATGTGATGCTGTGGTTTGAAGTACAGATCCTGTCACCCTGATAGTAAGCCAATAGGTAGTTTTTTTAACCTCCTTCTCCCTCCAACCTCTCGTAGTCCACAGTATATATTGTTCCCTTAATTATCTGTATATGTGCTCAATGCGTAGCTTCCACTTATAGGTAAGAACATCTAGTATTTGGTTTTCTGTTCCTTTGTTAATTTGCTTAAGATTATGGCCTCCAGCACCATCCATGCTGCTGCAAATGAAATGACTTCATTCTTCTTCATGGCCACATAGTATTCCATGGTATATATACACCACATTTTCTTTAAGTAGTCTACCAGCGATGGGCACCAAGGTTGATTCCATGTCTTTGCTGTTGTTAATAGTGCAGCAATAAAGATATGAGTGCATGTGTCTTTTTGGTAAAATGATTTATTTTCTTTTGGGTATATACTCAGTAATGGGATTGATGGCTTGAATGGTAGCTCTGAATTCTTTGAGAGAACTCTAGACTGCTTTCCATAACCGCTGGACTAATTTACATTTACACCAAAAGTGTATAATCATTCCCTTTTCTCCACAGCTTCACCAGCTGTGGAGAAAAAAAACCTCTTTTTTTTTTTTTTGACTTTGTAATAATAGGCTGAATAACTTACAAAGAAAAGAGGTTTGATTGGTTCATAGTTCTGCAGGTTGTACAGGAAGAACATTGCTGGCATCTGCTCCTGTTGAGGGCCTCAGGAATCATGGAGTTCTCAGAAATCACCTAATCATGATGGGAGGCAAAGGGGGAACAGGTTCATCTCACAGCAAAAGCAAGAGCAAGAGACAGAGGGTGGGGAGGTGTCACACTCTTTGAAACAACCCTATCTCATTTGAACTAATTGATCAAAAACTCACTCATTACCAAGGAGATGGCGTTAAACCATTCATGAGGGATCCATGCCCATGATCCAATACCTCCTGCTAGGCCCTACCTGTAACACTGTAGATAACATTTCAGCATGATATTTGGAGGGGACAAACATCCAAACCCTGTCACTTGTCTCAGCCTTGTTAACACAATAATAGGGGTGTATGTCTGCTCCCAGCTTTGTTTAACACAGGGACAGAAAATTTGTTGGTTTCAGTTCTCATTAGTATGTAGATGTAGATAGTATAGCTTTCATTAGCACAATGGAAATAGCTGGAACTTAAATGAATTTGTAGGAATTCTCCATGCTAGATAAGCTCTTTGGAGAGAAGTTCTGTAAATCACACATCTAATCATTATTATAATTATTATTTAGTAAATTTTAAGTTACTCCTTTAACTTAGGGGCTGAAGGTAAAGAAAAATGAAATATTTGTATTAAAAAGAAAGAAATATTAAATTAATGTCAATTTGGACTCTAAACGCAGAGCCCATGGCAAACGAGAAAGACGTGTTTGAAGCAGAAGTTGGAAAATGAAGTAAGCTTTTTTTTTTTTCAATGCTGACTTGGTTGGCTTTCAATTCAAGAGTTATTGCTAGCTATTTTTATTGGAGGCCTGAGAGATTGGTCCTAAATTGCTAAGCAGTAGGAGTCTTTATTGAGATGGTTTAACAGGACAAGTGGGCTTAAATGTCTATTCTCAGAGCTGGGGAGACTGGAGCTCAGTAGCCGGCAGGATTTTTGCCCTCTAAAGGTAAGAAGAACCACAAAGAACGAGAGTCCCAGTTTAAGAGTTTCCAACCCACCCAAACCTATAGGCGCAAGGGGAATAGTATAAGGAATGTGTTCTTCCTGCCTAAGTATAGGTCCAAGATACAGGCTGACCAAGACAGGAAAAGAGGAGGAGTCTAAGGAAACGTTTGTCTTCATGAATCTGTACCGCCATAAATGAAGAACTGTTCTGTTGACTGGCAGAATTAATATAAAAAGAAACCAATTAGCTCGAGATTCTGAGTTGCAGGAAGGAATTGGCATCTGGATGGTGAGTAAGGAGGTGTAACATAGAAGGAAAGAAAGGGAAACAATTCCTCAATTATACAGCTCATTGCAGGATAGTTTTATTCAAGGGTAAATTAAATCTGGACATTGTGGATGAGAAATGATATTCTAAAGTACACTTTAATTCTAAAGTCATTAAAGTGAGGAGAAGTCAAGGAGAAATGAAACTCAAAGGAAAAAGACTTCCCTTTGGAAGCACACAGTGAATCTGAGATTCACTCCACAGAGAAGCAAGTCAAAGCCTTCTGGAGAAGAACCAGTCACTGTGAACCATCTCCCGCAACTGGAGGAAGACCTATGACTGTCCCTACAAGAGCTGAGTCCTGACTGGTAACACCCCATGAACAGGCACAGAGGGGACCTGAGCAATCAGAGAGGGTGTTGCTGCCTTCCAGTATGCTATATCCTGGCTTTGATGCAAAACCTTTCCAGCTTCATTAACCTTCCTGACTGCTGCCCACTCCTGCTGATTCACAGGGGAATAAATGTCATAAGCAGAAGGCAATGGGGAAACGTCTTAAAGAACCACAAGTTCTTGGACAAGAAACCAAAGGCTTGGAGAGCACTGATGTTCTGTTGCTTAGTCCTGCTGCTGGTCAGGATTGGGAATGGAGAAGAAAATCTGGGAGGTGAACAATTTTTTATGCAGATGGTGTTTATGAACAAGGTTTGGATGTCTGAACCAGGCATTAAGATAATTAAATGAGGGTTTCTTGGCCCTGGGTGGAATTTGCCTAATGAGAACCAGGAAACCTCATTTGCCCTTGCTGGCTGGATCAGCAAGCCTATAAACTGAAGTAGGAGGGAGAAAAATATGGTGGCCCCTCAGTATCTATGGGGTATTGGTTCCAGGATCCCCATAGATAACCAGATCTGCAGATGCTCAAGATAAAATGGTGTTGGTTTGCGTATCACCTGCACATATCCTCTCATATACTTTGTCATCTCTGTGTTACTGATGATACCTAATATAATGCAAATGCTATGTAAATAGTTGATAACTCTGTATTGTTTTTTATTTGTATCTTTGAATTTTTTAAATTTATTGTTGGTTGAATCCATTAATGCAGAATCCACAGATATGGAGGACCAACTGTGCTTGATAAACCTAGAGGGCTGATTGTTTTAGAGAAAAGTAGGTATTAAGATGAAAGAGAGAGTGAGGGCATAGAAAAAACAAATTTAGAAAGGGAGTAAAAGCAATACATATATCCTGGCTCCCTTCCTAAACATATTAACGTACACTTAATATTATAACACAAGTTGACAAATGAGGTCTGATAAAGATCACCACGATCTAGTGAGATGGAACTTGAAGCTGGAATACAGCAGCACCACGTCATATTCCTCTGCGAAGGGAAAACCTTATTGAAAAAGAAGGTAGAGTCGTGGTATGCATGTGTGTCTGGGAGGGTTAAAGTTGCTAAAGTACTAGGAGATTACAAAGAGAATGGAACCTTACCCAGAGTGAGAATGGCAAGAAGGAGAAAATTAAAAGCATAACAAACATTTATAGAGTGCTTATTATGTGCCAGATTTGTAAAGTGCTTATTATTGGCACATAGTAAGCACTTTATGTATATTAACTGCTTAATCCTTAATGTCCTCTTAGGTAGGTACCATTATTTAACCCCACTGTGTAGATGAGAAACCTGAAGGACAAAGAGGTCAAATGGCTTGCTCAGGATTCCACAGCTAGCATTAAACCAGCGAGCTGGGTTTGAAACCCAATCTGGATCTAGTCTTCAGTTGACTACTACACTGTTCAGCGTCATCAGTATCTGACAAATACCTTCCAGATACTTGTCACAAAACTGACGCAAAATATTTGTTGAAAGCTTCATTCAGCTCAGCACTTCAGGCAGATTTTTGACATATTTTGCTAACAGAGGAAGAGGCTAGGGAAGCTGTCACTCTAAATCTATGTCTGAACAACAAGGTAAAACTCAGTATAGAAGTGGAAGTGTCAGGGCTCATCGCTTGCCAGGAAGGGAAAGGCTGGCATACTCAGCTGTGTACTCTGGACCTCAGCCATGTTAATTTCACAGGGTTCAATTAAAAAGGCATAATTCTGGCATATGCTGCCAAGCAAAGAATATTAACTCGCTACAAGATTTCAGAAATGCAATTCTGATTGTGTGATAACAAATATCAATCAGCCTAGATTCAGAAAATAATTGTTCAGTTTCAGGAAGAGAGCAACAACATATTTGCTGTTTTGTTTTTTAAAGAACATGGTGATTTTGAACTACAAGAAGCATATTAATAACTTAGTAATTGGATGTGATCACCAAAAAGCCAATTCAGTCTTACACTGCACTTAGAGGAATATAGTTTCTAGCATTAGGAAGGTGATGATTCCATTTTCTTCCACCTTGGTCAGATCATACACTATATTCAGTTCTAGCTGCATAATTTTAAAGAGAATACAATAGTCTCTTGTCAGAGCAGGACTTTTATATTTCCATTCTAAAGTTTAAATTTTCATATACCTGTATGTACATATGATTCAGTTCATTCTTTTCAACTGGAAGTAACTGGGAAACTTGTGTTTCTGGAATAGTATAGAGAAAAGCAATCTATAAAGACACAGTTAATTTGTGAAAATATAAATATTTTTTCAAGTATTCTTGCTGAAATATATGAGAGAGAAACAAGGGCGAATGCTTGTACAATGTACACTAAATTTCTTCCTACTAAGGCTAGGGCAGTGCTACTGCTCTATAACTGAACAAGCTATTCAAGATGGGGATGTTTTTTATAGTAGTGGATTGTTGACATTGGCAAATGTGGTTTATTCTATAAGTGGTTGTGTTCTGTAATGTTGTCTTCCTCCCAGTAATAAATGAACATACACACAAATGTCCATTTTTGTTTTCATTGCTTTCCTGCAACTCACTATTTTATTTTATGTAAGGCCTTTATATCGCCAAAAATGGTTTTTACAGCCATATTGTGTTCAAGGAGCCTAACCTCTGTGGTTAGAAGAACTGAGGCTGATTAAAAGGTACAGAAGGTGGTGAAGGAATTGGAAGCCTTTTAATAGTACTGGAATGATTCAGAAATAAAGAAAGGATACTGGAGTAACTCAAAAATAAAGGAGGAGACTGGGGAATAAGGGTAGCTCCTGGGATCTTTGGGACTAGAAAGTACAGAAAGCCTAGAAGTACAGGACACCCTCTACTATCTTACTTCATCTCTGCTTTTCTTTAGGGTTTGGCTAACTCTCAGGCTTCTCCTTGTGGCACGAGATGTGGCTTCCCTCCTAGTCTCTGCTTGACAAATGGAGATGGCTCCTGAGTGGCCTGGTTTGCATTATAAGGCTATCCCTTGGCCCAGTCACTGTGGCCACAGATCATCTGGCCCAGCAGGGCTACTGTCCACCTGTTTGACATTGTGTTTGTGAATGAGAGAGGAAAGCGGGAGCCATGGGTTAGGTGTGGTAGAAGAACTACAGGGAAATTTTTCAGCTTAATATAAGAAAGTAATTTCTGTCAGTACTGCCTCCAGCCATGTGGGCAGTCTCTTGAGGTACTAGGCTCCCTACCATTCCACACATTTGTGGAAAGAGGATAGAAGTGTTCAGTGATGCTCTTGAAGGCTTCAGATGCTACACGGATGGTTTAGTTAATTGCTGTTTGATATTCCTTTTCAGCCTGTGAGTCTGTAAGCCTACAAAATTCTATCATGTAACTTCCTTGATGTTAATGACAATAATTGCCCGTTTGTATTGTGTATCTTGCAATAAAAACATTAACAATAGAGAATGAATATACAGAACATCTCTTTGAGCTTTGTAATGCAGTATTCCTTTCCTGTTTTCCCCACTCAGGTTTGTTTTGAACTCTCATATGCTTATGATTAAAATATATTTGGGTATATTGTGATTCATCCACAGATGTAAAATCCTTGAACACCTCTGATATTTCTGTAATTGTCTCATGACCTCCTCTTTGCCCTTTTCTATATCTGTTGTGTTGTAGACCACAAAATAGTTGCTAGGCAAAATCCATATGAATGATTATACTTACTTATTTAAGGTGTACAACTGCCTGCTTTTCTTATAAGCTGTAAATATTGTCCAGTATAAGCTGATTTACTCTGCTGCCCCTGTGGGTGTTGTTTGTAAGAATCTGAACCTATTTGTCTTTTGCAGCATAGTTAACTTTGGTAAATGTCCATATAGTTAAAGTAATGGTTTGATATTTCAGGAAGCTATGAAGCAGATAACCCAGCTTTTACCAGAGGATCTCAGAAAGGAGCTCTATGAACTTTGGGAAGTAAGTATATATGATGCGTTAATTTATTTTTAATTTGTAACTGAATTTATATGGCTCCCTGATGTTGTAGTTGACTTAGATGATCTTAACAAGCGATCTCTAACTTATTACTGTCTGGTTTGTGTCTATTTCTCACCTCCCAGCTACTGCAGAAATTTCTCCTAGTTGATAGAAATTTTGTATCCTTCCAATTTCCCCATTTCTCTTGCCACCCCAATGCCTGGCGCTTGACTCACAGCACTGGATTTCTTGCTGCTTTGCCCATGCCTACCCATTTTTGGTCCTTGAAAAGAACATGGACTCGGGGTAGTTCAGAGCTGAGATTGAATCCTACCTCTCCACTTTGTGGTTCTGCAACCTCTGCACATTTCCCTTGCTGAGTCTCTTGCTCATCTGTAAGACCCTGGAGGGTTGTTAGGGTTGGATGAGATCAAGGTGAAGTGCCACAGAGATGCCTGGCATGGAACAGGGCTCTACCAGTGCTCACTCCCTTCCCAGAGCTGCCGACAGCAAAGGGAGGTTGGGCTGGAAAGAAAGGGCAGGTTCAGCGATTTTTCCCCATTGCCTCCCTCTCCTGCTGCTCTTTCATTTGTAAAGGAAAAAAAAAAAATCTCCCTTTCCAATTATAGTTTCTGTCTTCCAGCCAGTCCACACTGGCCCTTCCTTGCTTGAGCCTTAAGCCTCCCCTTATTCTTGGATAGCCTTGCCTCCCACTCTCACTTTTCACATTTTCTTCAAAGTCCGTACTCATCCTCCTGTCTTACAGCTTGGTCTTCCACCTTTCCTTTCTACATACTCAGGCCCCTTCCTGCTTTGCCTCTCCACTGAATCCCAAAGCTGGCAGAGTTTCCTGTCTTACTGCTTCATGTGCTGGGTCAGGTCCTCCCTTGACTTAGGAGTGAGAGGAGAAGTGCCCAGGGTTGAAACCCTGCACAGCTCCTTCTCCTAGAAATGCCATGTTGCACAGCGTCAGATTCTGTATGGCACTGTCATTCTCTGTGGTTTGGGTTGATTGTGGGATGAAATAGCCATTTTAAGGCATTCAGTTGTGGTACAGAGCCTTGTAGCCAGAGAGACCTGGGTTTGAATTCCAACTCGTATTTACACACCCATGTGTGTTATTCGACTCTATTTAACCTCATTTTCTCCTCTAGAAAACGAGAGTCATGCAGGTTCCCACACCTTTATTCCCAGTTATAAAATTCAAAAAGCTCAGAGAACCAGTTTTTAGAAAACTTGACCTGACCTGAACTCATTAGGCAGCAAATCTTACCTGAACCAACATGAGGCTATTTGGAGTCCTCTTGCATCCTTCTTGATGTGAAAATTAATGTGCTTTGATTTGGAAATCTTCATTTGGCAACTGAGTGCTCTCCAAGACCTCACCAGAGGCAGAACTTAGTATATACCATATGTGCCATTATTTTCCTAAAATAAGAAAATGCTGAAACCTGAAAGTTCTGATCCCAGGGTTTAAGATGAGAGATTGTAGGCCTTCAATGCCTATCTCGTTGAGTAATCATGAAAATTAAATCTGGCAAAATATGTGTGGCATCTAGCTTGGAGCCTGAGTCAGATGGTACATGTTACTAGGTATAGCAGAGTTTCTTTAGAAAAGTGTGCCTCGTCTCAAAGTATATACTTTCAAACGCACTTTCAGAATGCTCCTTATATGTTGGGAAAATAATGGAGTGGAGTTAGATTGCATCTCATCCATAAAAGAAAAAAAAGTTGCACCTAAGTTTATGAAACTAATCTCATGCATTGTCTCCTAAGGGGGAAACACTCTTGTATTGATCATTTGAAAAACTTTTACAATAATTTGTACCTTTGTGCCTAATTATTGTAAATATGGTGGTAGTTATCTATTAAATTATTTTCTTAGCCAGAAGGAACTGGTGAAAAACTTTACTGAAAAATTTACTGTAGTATCTTCCAGAGATAAATGCTACAAAAGCTGTTTAGAATGGCTTTGGATTTGAATAAGTATAAAACACAGAGAATTAAAACACTTGATAACCCCTAAACAGGTAACAATTTCACTATCTTATAAATGTCATTGGTTGAATTAATTAAGCCTAATAAAGATTTTTCTTCAAAAGCACTGAAGGAGGGTTCTTCCTTGTTTCTTTTTAGCTTTTGGTCATTGCAGTCCTTGGCTCACAGACACGTCACTCCAGTCTCTTCCCTGTAGTCACATGCTATTGACCCTGTGTCAGAACCCAAGTCCAAATTTCCCTCTGTTGAATAAGGATCTACTCTGTAATCCAGTATGACCACATCTTAACTTGACCACTTCTGTCAAGACCCTATTTGACCCTATTTCCAAATAAGGTCACGTTCACAAGTCACATTTACAGATTATAGGTCGACATGAATTTTCAACATAGTATTCAACACAGTACAAGTTTCTACAATAATTTATGCATTTTATATTTCATGTCTAATGTTAGTACATAACCTTCCGACTTCCAGGGTTCAAATAGTGGCTCCCCTGTTTACTAGCTGTGAGATCTTGAGCAATTTACTTAATCTCTCTGTGCCTCAATTTCCTCATCTGTAAAATGACAATAATTATGGGGTTGTAGGAATTAAAGTAATTAAAATACATAAAGCAATTAGGATACTGCCTGTCACATAGTAAGCTCTATTTTTTCTGTCTCCAGTCCATGTATGCTGGTTTTTGGTTTCAGAAAGTAGGGTCATTCTGTACCCATTGAATTTAAAATAGCGTTAGTTACATAGGAAAATGATAGTTGATTGATTTTGGAAATGATGCTAATTACAACTATTTAGTGCTTTAGAATATTTCTCAGCCCAGAGAATCACAACTATTTAAAACCATTAAACATCCTTGATTATAATTTATCTTTTATCATAGCAGGTGAAATCACATTTCACCAAGCCAAGGAAAAAAGAAAAAACAATTTTTTTTCTGAAAGTATCACAGAAAGATATCTACTCTACACCTGCATTTTGCCTTCAAGAAATGTTCTTTTGAGCCCCAAGGCCTGAGAAGAGCCTCTCCCACATGTGAAATGCCTAGCACACCCCACTGTCCTTGGATTGTTTCTAACTCCAAGTTTTCTCTCCACATTGTCAGAAGTTCAGTTTATCGGAGATACAGTTAGATTAACAAGTATCCTTTTAAAAATGTCTCCCCCCATTCATTCTTCAAAGTACAGGTGGGGGTTGATGTAGAGCAGCATGAGGACCCCAGGACTCTGGAGGGAGAGTCACCAGGAGGTCAGAGAGGGGAAGATGCAAAAGATAAACTTCCAAGAGATCAGCACTTCACTCTGGGCCAACCTTTCCCCCAGGAAGGAGAAGGAAATGTTTAATATTCCTGTTTTCCTCTCCTCTGCCTATTTATTCCTCATCTTCAGGACCTAGAACTTGAATCTCCATCCTGTTCGGATGTCCCTCTGTTGCTCTTCAAACCCCAATCTGAGTCATTTGGTCATGTGTCTTCTCCAGTCCTATTGGAAGGCTGTAGAACCCTGATATGGGGACCCTCCCTGCCATAGGGACTGGGGTCACAGCCACCCTGGCCTCCAGGCTCTGCAGAGCGTCAGGGCTGCCAACACCCTATCAGTGGGCCTCCAGTCACTTCCCTACCTCTCTGTCCTCCTCCCTTATCTCTGCCCCACATCAGCTGTTCAGCTTTCTCTTCAAGCATCTATCTTGCCACTTCTCCCCTGATTTTATAGCAAATAATCTTGCCTCTTCCATCTCTGAGAACATAGACACTGTCACATCGGAAGTTTTCCAGCTTTTTGAAGCTTTGCAGATATGTTCACATGATCCTATTTTGGAATAAATTTCCCTGGATGCCATATTTCCCTACTTCCCTCCACAACTAAATAGGTAAGAAGTTAACTGCTCTCCCTGACTCTGCTTCCTTACAGCCACCATGGTGTGAGTGATAGGCCCACCAGGCACTGCTCTTGCTAAGCTCACAGGCAGCCTTCATGTGGCTGGATCTGGCAACCGTGTTCTGCTCATGTCCTGCCTGACACTGGCGGCACGGGGTGTTGTCACTCGCTGCTGAAAATCTCATCCCTCAGGTCTTGACATCTCCCTCTCCTGGTTTTCTTTGTGCTTTTCTGGCTGTTTCTTTTGAGTTTCTTCAAACGTTACTCTCCTTCAACCTTCATCTTCAGAACCTGTGTCTTCTTCTCAGGGCCAAGTCCTTGAACTTCTTTTCTCTCCACACCCCTCCTGTGCTTCAGGATCGTGTGCTGATTGCCCCATACGTTCTGAAAAACCTTCCTCCTAAGCCCCAGATACACAAACCCAGCAGCCTCCTCAACAGCTTTATCTGATCGTCCACAGGAACAGCTTCATGGCTGTGCCTATTCTCTTCTGCCATTTTTAGTATTTTAAAGCCTTTTATTGAGAAATAAAATACTCAAAACCATGCAAAACCCAAGAGTAGCATGAGTTATTTATTAGAAAGATAACTTTCTTCTAACTACAACTCAGGTAAAGATTTAGAACTTTTTCATTCACCCCAGAAGCTCTTCCCTGTGCCACGATCCAAACACCCTCCCCCTGAAAAAAGTAACCACTACCCCGGTTTTCACATATATCACTAGAATGTCTTTAAGGCTGAATCACTTAAGTATTAATTTCTAGATATTTTAGTTTCATCATGCTCACTTTTTTTTTAAAGCTTTATGTCTTTTAAATCCCCTTTAATCTACAGTTTCCCCCTCCATCTCTTTCTTTTTCTTATAATTTGCCTGTTGAATCCAGACCATTTGGCCTACAGAGTTTCCCAGTTTCCCAACTGCACACTCATGGTGCAGGTCATGTACCTCTGTTGTCTTACTTTATACAGATTGGCAGATAGATCCACAGGCTGGGCAGACTCACGTTGGATTCTTTGTTGGGTTCTTTTGTCATGCGCCACATAATGACTAGTTTTTCTTCATGCTTACATCCCTTAATCCTTTGGGGGCTACAGAATGGTAATATCCTAATATTTTATTTTTGTT